CTGTTCCTCATATGCAAAATGGGCTAAATGCAGCAAATGTGCAAAGCCAGAGCTGGAAAGCCCTTATCCACGTGAGCTTCGGCAGGAGTCAGCAAACCCAGTACCTGCTCCAAGAATTTTTAGTATCTGCCGCTGCGAGGATCAAATGACATAAGCCATGTAAACACTGGGCGAGTCAGGAGCATGAAACGATACTCGGTGACGGCTCGGTGTCACTTCCATTATTAATAATTTGAAAAAGCAGATTAACACGCCAGGCCCCACTTAATTCTCAGGGCTCCCGTGAGGCTCAGCTGGAAGAACGTAACATACAGGAAAACACACTAAGAACTCAGTGTGCAAAATAAATTGTTCAAGTCTGTTTAAACTTCTTGCTCCTTCAAAAGGCGTGCTGTTTTAAAAGGGGATCCGGGCCTGAGGAAAAGTTTTACACAGCTGACGATGTTCCCTGTTGCCGGGCTCGGTAAACACCACTGCATCCCGTTAGAAGCCCAACCACTGTGCTGTTCCCTATGCCTGTGGACACTGAGGGTAACTGTCTGTCTCCCCATCTATTTAATAGGGATTAGGAACGACCCAGTGCGTACGTCCCAAGCAGGAACAAGACTCCACACGTGATTTTCTAAAGTTAGCAAAAAGAAAACCATATGAAAATGCAAATAGTTTAGAGCCAAGATCTTCGTGGTGACCCACACAGCCCAGCAAATGGCAAACGGTGAGGTCCACACAGTCCAGACGTCATCCCTTCCCGTTACTCGGGAACGTCCAGCACTTTCCTCCAGCTGGCCTGGGGTGTGTCAGGAGGCAGTGGCCTGTACAGCAGGCTGTCTTCTTAGCAAAACCCTCGTGTGGGGCAAACACACCCATCGCCGTGCTGGCACATGCTGAAGGCTCATTAAGAGTTTTTTCAATTTAAGTAGAGGCAATAAATTAATTTGAATAACACGAATATAGCCACACTCATGTGAATTTTTTTTGCTGTGTTTTCTAACTGTAATTACAATAACCAAGTGATCAGTTTTCTTGCGTGTTGGTGTCTGTAGGTTTCTCTAAGTGGTGGCAGGTCTACCGGTAGCTAATGTCGAGAGTCTGGTTGGCAAACCTTCATCCTCATTACATTTCCCGGGCAATGGCAGGAACATTCTTCATTCCTTCTGCCCAGACAGCTTTGCTGAGTGCAGTTCAGTGACGCTCTATGCGTCTATACCTCCTTCACTGGGGAGCCTGGGTCTCCCTGAAGCCATGCCATGGCAGCATGCGAACGCTGGTGGCGTCCTCCCCAGGCACGAGGAGCTGGTGGCAGGATGGCCCAGCTTCTCCCCCTTTCTTTGTAGAAGCCACTCTGCCAGGGCCCGAAAAGGGGCAAGAGGCTTTCTCATTTTTCTTTTTCTTTTTTTCTATTTTTGTATATATAACACTATTTCTGCATGAACTATTTTCAAAAGAAAATGCCAAAATAAGTTCTAGAAGTTTCCACATTTGTAGGCAGAATAAATGAGAACTCAGTTTGGTTTTCAATCATGTTCAAATTATTTGCATATGTGCAGCTTAGTTTTGTTTAGTTACTAAAGTCTGGCCATCCCTAGACGAATGGACCAATGAAACTTGTATTTCAAGTTTAAATATATTTACACACGCACACACACACAGACGTGTGCACATGTTTAAATTTGTATAGATGAATCTAAAGTTAGCAAACACTTTTCCGACGTCCGTTACCTAGACACCTTTGGGGACACAGCTGTCACTGCCCTCACAGGCCAAGAATCCAAGCAGCATTCAGGACGACCACGCAGGCAGCAAAAACAGAGAAACACCAAGTCACCAGTATCTGATTAACGAAGTATTGTGGGTAAACTCAATGTTATGGTGACTCCCCCCTCGCTGAAATTATTGCTAGCGTTCTAGACTGCCTGGCTTAGTAGGTGAGAATCATTATATTTACATAATTATTTAATGATTCAAGGTCTCAGAGAATACTGCCACCTGTGGTCAGTCTTGCTTCTAGGAACTGATGAGGGCTCTGGGTTTATAAGGACCCAGCTCCTCCCCAGGAAGTCACTTTTCTGATCACATCCCTGATTTCCCCTTGTTTTCCTATCATTCCCATCTCTTCATACACTTAGAAGGCAGGAAAAGTTCAGCTCCTGCAGTGACTGCCAAGGCCCATTGGTGGGATGTGAGCCACTGACCCAGGTCAGAGGTCAGTGACTGCAACCAAGGACACAGACTTCCTGACGGACACAAGGATCTCAGAGGCCATCCCAGCCAGGCCTGTTCACTAAATGTCACCCACTGGGGGCTGGTAGTGTTTGACTAATACCTGATCCGAGGCCAAGCGAGCCTGTGTGAACACGCATCTGGGTCCCACAGCAGACCTTGTCTTAGTCATCAGGTCAGCGCCACACTGACCACACTCCGGTTCCAGGCCTTCACAATCACCACGCAAAACGTAAGTTGGAAAATGTGTTCTTCATTTAAACCATTGGATGCCTGCTCAACAGCAGGGCCAGATGCCTGGGGCAAGGTCCCCAGCTCCCCAAGTGTCCTTCCTGTACCCCTGGCTCCACCCAGCTGACGGCAGGACCAAGGCCCTCGGGCACAGCACAGCCTAGCCCCAGTGCCTGCCTGGTTTTAAATGGTGATAAGGGGGTGAGATGGGGGGCAAAGGCAGGACCCCACTCCACCCTAGATGCTCCAGATGACAACCAGGTAACCCCAGCCTCATTTCCCACCAAGCCCCATGCCTGGTGGGGACTTTCAGTGAGAGAACCCTCTGGAAGGGGCTGCTGAGATGCATAGGGATGTTTGGGGGTTCATGGGGAGGGCCTGAGCCTCCTGTCCCCATCTCCCCAGGGAGCTCCGTACCCAAGCTTGGCAGGATTGGGGAGCAGCAGGAGTCACAGGGGCCACAGGCCAGGGAGTGACAATGTGCATTCTCCTCCAGTTCATCTTCTGGCCTCAAACACTCCAGCGAGCCCTTCAAGGGCTGAGCTGTCAGAATGATCCTTTCCAGGCTGTGCCCCCGTGCACTTTGCTTTCTTTTGGCCTCAGGGGCCTGGAAGGGTCTGGAAACCTGGCATGAAGGAAGAGAAGAGCCCCGGGCGCAAAGCTCAGGAACCGGAGTGGGCTCCATGCCCCAGTGGCCATCCTTGGCCAGGCTGGGGGCTGCACCCAGGACCCTCAGGGAAACATGAGTTGTTTTTAGAAACACGAAGAAGGGGTTATATTTAGAAACAAAGCACCACAGAGCCTGAAGACATGACAGCGGCCTCCCAGTAACACCGGCGGCCCCTGCTGGGACCTGGGACAAGAGGGGTTTTGCGGGGCAGGTGCCTGGACCCCCGGAGGGCTGGGTGGCCAGAGGTCCTGGGCTGAGCGGTCAGGAGGCCGTGTCCTCCACATCCTCGAGCCGCTCTCACACTGCCCCAGAAACTGGCGCTGCTGCTCCCCAAACCTCCCAGGACTTGCTGCGGGTTCTGAACACGGCCATCTAAACGGTCCGAGGACCGCTGTGGCTCCAGAGAATGATCAGGAGAAGCTCCACCTACTCAGATAATGTTCTAACAGCCACACTGGGCCTGCCAAACTGTCGGGGGGGATTTTTTTCAAGTTCTCATTTAGAACCAGCAAAACGGAGTCAGGCCGTTCGAGAGCTGTACATTTTCTTCCCAGCTCCGTGGATTCAGGAATGGCCGCACGCTGGTCTCTACAGCATCATGTTTTGTCAACATCAGGATCTCTGCCTCTCGCTTCTGATGTTCACACACAAACTAAACACACAGGCCCAGCAGCAAAGGCCCAAGGAAGGCCCCTTGTCCAGCCAGAAAGGAAGGCCACACAAGCGTGGGCTGAGAGAAGCAAGACAGCCCTGCTCCTGCAGCCCTGCCAGGGCTGATCCCAGCCGCAGCCCCTAACCCTGAGACCCTGCACAAGGCATCCACCCTCTCTGTGCCTCAGTTTCCTCCTCTGTGAAATGGGGGTCATAAAAGGACCTACTTTTACAGGTGTGTTTTGAGGATTATGTAAGAAATTTCATTCACACACTTAGCACGGGGCCTAGCCCCCAGAAAGCACTCCATAAATACTAGCCATCGTTTTATAGATGACAGAGTGAGACTCCCGGAGGGGAAGGCCATTACCCTTGGGACTAGCCACAGACCTGGTTCTGCCTCCCTGGGCTGGTGACACAGAATGACAGTCTAACTTGAGTGGCACTGAGCACGGATTTTCCTAATAAGAATTTCACACTTCTATGAGGTTTCACGGCGACTCAGGAGTGAGCACCATGGCCAAGATTCCTAGGTTTCTGTTTCCAGAGGGTCTTCTGAACAAAGGAGGCATCTGCAGATCTCTCTGGAAGATCAGCACCAATGGAAAATAACAATAACGGAGATATTTTTGGTGTTTACACAAAAGTAAAATACGCAACCAGCATCCTCAGCCGTCCATGGCTCCCAGCAAGTGAGGCCCCATACTTCTGATGTAGGTGAGTTAGTTTTGCATATTTCAAAAGGGCAAAGGGCCGTGTTCATGGGAGAGTCCATGTAGAGTGGGGGACCAGGGCCTCAGGGTTCCAGGGAGATCGAGCGCAACCCTGCAGCCAGACGCAGGGCTGGCCCCACAGACCTCTAGCATTGGCAGCTGGGTAACTGAGTCCCCCTCTACACCAAGAGTTCCGTCTGCCAGCAGCCGTCTCTCCCCACGGACCTCTGCATGTGGCCTCAGGTCCACTCCCTGCCATGCGGTCAAGCCCCTCACCAGCCGACACTCCGATCCCCTTCAGTCTTGAACCCAAACCCCTCCAGAATGCATCGAGGCCAGCGGAGGTGGCACAATGCCACTGTTCCCCCACTCACTGAGTTTATACGTCCTAAGTTGACTCTAGGTAGCAAGTCACCAGGTTCCTCAGAACAACGCTCTGCAGTTACATAACAGAGCTGGGAAATCCTTTACGAGTTGCTTAAAAAAGAGTTAATCACACTGAACGTGGACTTTACCTTCAGCCAAGGCTTTTGCTGAGATCCCAGGAGCCCCTCGGAAGCCGGTCCTGCCGGGGCTCAGCCCGCAACAGAGGAGAGCGCTCACGTCGCGCCCTCCCGGCGCTCGCTGATGAAGAATGCCTCGCTCCGCCCCGACATCTGGTTTCTATTTCATACCCATGTTGTCACATTACATAACAAGCAGATGATACGCGGGGTCGCCACAAGACTTTCGGCTCAAGATGTCCAGAGAACGCCCCAGAAGGCTGTTTATACTCGGGCTCACGAGAGTTCACCAAATCTGTATTAGTGCGGAAGCTGCACCATTCCAAGCTAAACTCAGCACTCCCAGCTGACGCCCTCGGAGCCAGAAGCGAGACCACGCCTGCTCGGAGGCTTTGATTTGGACTGAGGTCCGTTCCTAACTTCTTCCTCTCTTCCACATTCAAAGTGGGCAAAGTAGAAGTCATCTGTGGCCTGAACTTAATTTTCCTGCACCTGGAAAGAGGCCTCAGCCTCGAAGATGTACAGGAAGGTGGCTGCACAGTGGACCATGGAGATCGAGTGAGAAAAGGCCAGGAGCCCCTGCCAGCGAGGAGACGGGTGGGACCAACCCAGGGCAGAAGCAGGACTTCATGGCACACGGAGGGAGAACATTGGAGCGAATGTTCTAGAAGCTCTGGAGCCTTATCTAGAAGCAAATGTTCCACCCTCCCCTCGGCTTACTTGGGAGGTTGTGAGGATTACTGTCAATGCCACCGCACACTTCAAGCTCTCAGTGTCGCAATGTCCAGCGTGGAAGCGAGGAGCCCATCTAGAGAATGCGCCCCTCCAGGGCTGCCATCTGCCATCTCAACCCACCAGAGCACGGGGGAGGGTGGCCAGGGCAGGCCTGGTGGCCAGCATCTGGCACAAGGGTGCCAGGGACACGGAGTTTCTCCAGAGTCGCCTGGAGCAGCCCGTGAGTTCGGTCACGAAGAATCAGCCTCCACGGGGGAGGCGCTCATCTGACAGCAAGGCTGCTAAGGGCTCCCTGCAGGGCAGAAATCATACCACGCAGCCAGCAAAGTGTCGTCGGCTGAGGGGTCCAGGGCCATCGCTCTGCCGCCAGGTGAACCCCTACGCCCACGGGGAAGTGAGAACTGAAAACTTTCTTATTAACGCACAGGAGCAGCAAGGCTGACTTGATTGGGAGAAAACCCGAGGAGCAGGGGCTGGGGGCTGGCAGGTCCCAGTCGTGGGGGGAAGCCCCAGGGCTCCTCGTGTTTCTCATCTCCCCCAGGCTGGTCGAGGCCTCCGCACAGTCGGAAGGACAACACTGTGTGTAATGATTTTGGATTTCGCCTCCTCACTACACCAGAGACCGTGTGTGCTTGTTGGGGAAGAGCTATTTCAAGTGCAACCTTCCACACGCCATGGCACAGTTTGGCTGTAAGAGAGGGCAGTGTCCCCTGGGGAACCTCAGGCTGGGGCTGCGGGAAGGCCTGGCTGAGGAATGGCAGGACCTTGAGGCCCACAGGCAGAGCGGGCCAGAACTTCAGGCAGAGGAAACAGCACAGGCAGCCAGCCCCTCATAGGCAGGGCTGGCCCTCTGCCCCCTAGAGGGCAAAGGGTCACCAAAGGGGATGAGCAACAGAGGCCCCCAAAGCATAGCTAGGAGCTAGACCCCAACACCACGGAGCAGACGGAAAACACGCCTGTGAGCAAGAGGTTCAGAGAGCAGGATGGCTGTGGAAGATGTCAGGGCGCCCTCTGCGGTGACGGCCATGTCCCCAGCTAACAGGTGAGGGGCTTCCGGAAAATGTTCTGTAAATATATGGCCATTTTCCTAATCTGGGGTCCTTGCTGTGGACAGTCGTGCTGCCCTTTGCTTACTTTGTCGATCTGGTTACGGCCAGGGCAAGGCGAGCAGCCAAGAAGAGTCGATATGCTCCAGCAGCGGAGGCCAGGCCAGGGTCGCCGTAGGCAAAGCAGGGCCACTGAAAAACACACTTTTCCCTAAAAAAGCCCCTAGACGAAATGCTTTAATGGCACCTCTGTGACCTGACACCTGAAGATTACCCCAGCGTGCAGCCACAGGCTGAGAAATGCCTTTCGACGTTCGGCGGACGCCCACAGCTGGCTGACCCTGGCAGAGCTTTTCACGTACTTGCAGTTTCACTCGAAACCACTCGAACATTACCGTGCACCGACTACGTGCTGGCCCTGCTCTCATGGAGCTTTCCGTCGAGGGGCAGTCAGACTGAGACAAGAAAGCCCCCGAATAAACTGACCCTCTGCCCCTCACAAGCAGGGTCTCCACAGAGGTGTGCAGGCCTGGAGGGCATGGAGCGCTGGTTTGAGCGTTAGGATCAACCGCAAACTTGTGACTGAACCACAGAGTGGGAAGACGGATCCAGCCCCACAGTCCTAACAGGGATGGCGGATGCGACAGAACAGCAAACCCTGCCGGGACAGCAGGTCCAGCCCTTCCCGGCCAGCTCCCTCTCCCGGGCTTCCCACGGGCCTCAACTCCCCCTTCTCTCCCTGCTGACCAGGACGTCCCAGTTCCCTCTCCCGGGGCAGTGTCTGCATATCAATGTGCGCAGACTGCAGACACGCCCTTCCCTTCCACTCCTGCCTCCTTCAGGTTCACATCTGTCATCTGAATTCAGTAGAAGTTCAGGCTCTGGGGGTTGCCCAGGATGGAGGCCAAACCTGCACCTGCATAAGCAGCAAGGAGGACTGGCTGCAGAGTCCCCAGGGCAGCTCCCAGAAACGGGAGACCCTTCAGAAAGGCGGACATGAGGCAGCATGGGAGCCTTGGGGTCCAGCGCCACCAAACGTCCCAGGTCTGCCTAAAGCAGTGGTCTGCCTGCCCTCTGCCCCATCTCGCTTCTTCTCTGGCATTCAAAATCAAGTGTGGTGGCTCCTGGGCCTACGCATCCCCAATTCCACCACCAGACACCCCAGCCCCAATGTGGAAGACCCCCAAGGAAGGGGCTTGCCACTGGTACTCCTAACCAGGACCAGGCTCTCCTCCCCTGGGGCAGGGGTGCATCTCCTATAAAAGTAGAGAAAGAATAAACCAGTGCCTGCTCCAGGCCCCCCGGTGCCCAAGCCTTGTTTGAGAACTCTCGACAAGAGCTGCGGCCTGAGCCTATGGGAAGGTCCCCAAGGAAGGTGCCCACTGGCACCACTGGGGTCAGACCTGCACCTTCACTCCTTGCCAGCTGCCTCTCACCAGGAAGCTGAGCCTGGGCAGGGCCGCTAGGCAGCCCTTGGGGCCTCAGGGCAAAGGGGACAGTCACTGGCATTCCCCACTACACTTTACTCAATCAGCCAGTGAGAGAGGATGAATCCTGATCAGGTCGCCCTGCAAACCAACCCCACCATCATCTCCAACAGGTGCCAATGCTGTTTGCCAACATTTTAAAACAGCCACACAGGCATGGGACAGACTGTCTGGTTCAGAGTTTCTTCTGCAGGTCAAGGGTGTCAGTTCTAGTTTACAAAGAAGACAGAATCTCACAGAGTGGGGAGACCCCCTCGGCAGCCTCATGGCCGAGCTTCCCAACATGCAGCCCCATCCAGAGCTCTCCTCACCCCTGGGCACCCAGCATGTCCACTCTCGCACTCAGCAGCCTTCATGGCACGCGAGTCAAGATGCCCAGGGTCACTGGCACACTTGTTTTGCACGATGTTGCAATGTTTGGCACCAGCGATGCAGCACAGCCTCAAGACAGCCAATGTGGTCCGTTACACAGGGCAGCATTTGCCACGTGCTCTGCAAACAGCAGGCTGAAGTGTTCTTAGCTAGCGTCAGCTGTCTCGATCCACAGACACATGACACCTAGCATTTCTTTCTGAACATCCGGGAAATGGAAAGGCCTGAGCATTACCAGCAAGGTGAAAATGACAGACCGAAGACATGAAACAACAGTGAATACTGAGGACCTCATAGGAATGGAAGCCCCTGACCTGGATTTCACAGGTAAGTTGCAGAGTAGAACACGACGGGAGAGGACAGTCTGCTTCCCATAAAATCACACACAGGAAACTCAGTTTCTTATAGAACTTCATGTTTCTGTTTTAAGTAAAGGCTAAAAAGCATATTTTAAACTACATTTTTACACAAATTCCCATGCGAGAATTTCTAACAGCACCGTAGATGACAACGCGGCCACTTCTCCCCAGGGTGATCCTGCGGGGGACTCCAGCCAGGCTGGCTATGTCCCTCGGGAGGCTCTGGGCCTCCCCCGAGAACAAAGAGCTCAGAAAGGATTACTTCATAAGTCCCCCAGAGCAAAGAGTCCACAGGTCCCTCAAGCTCTAAAGTAACGTGGGGGGAGACCGAGAAGCCTGTTCAATAAAAGTCTTCATGCAAGTCCGAAGTCACGAAAACCACAACCAGATATTCCCAGTGTAGACTTGAGGGATCTCAGCAATAAGATAAAAGCATCACCGTAAGCAAGCCCAGATGCCAGCAAGTGCTCACTGCTGGCCTAACGCACTGTCACCTTGAGGGAGTCCAAGCAGGGGTGCCACCCAGGCCAAGGACTGGACACCAGACCTGGCCAGGTGAGCTTGTGGAGCAGAGCGGCGTGGTGCTGGGGGAACATTCGCCAGAGCCCCAGCAATTGCTCCCTCATAACTAAGTGACCTCAGTGCCATTGCTATGACCTCTGCCCTGGGTTCCAAGGACGCATTACACAGCTAGGAGACACCGTCATCCCTCCCCTAAACAGTCCATGAGACAGCCACGAAAGCCCACCACCCCAGGCTGTCACACCCTGCGTGGAATGCAGCACATAACGTACATCTCTACCTCTGGTCACCACAGGGTCAAAAATAAAAGCGCAAGCAGGCACACACGCACGCACGCACGCAGGCCGGCTTTCACATGTTGCCCTTTCTTCCTCAATTACTTGAAAGAAGGCCAAAGCCAGACAGTAAATCCAGGAGTAAAAATCTCCCCTATTGTCCTCCATTCTAAAGCAAACACTTGACTGTTATTTACAGTTTTGTTAAGAAAAATGAACAACTCAACTACTGCAGAGGAAAGCCAAATTCATTCTTTACGTGTCCAACTAAATTAAAACTTTCATATTGCCTTCCATGAAAACGGAAAACAGCGTCTGGAACAAGGACCGTGGCGTTTTGGCCAGCACGTCCAAGGATGTGCAGTTAATTTTTCTGTGCCGGTCCTTCGAGGCACAGCTCTCCACTCCGTCCTGCAGCACGGATGACAGAAATCAGGTGACCGTCCATCTGCTCTGTCCCTGCGGACACAGCCTGGCAACATGCAGAGAGGGCCCCAGCAGAAGGCCCGGCCCTTGGCCCAAGGCCCGGGGCTGGCACGAGCAGGTGACCTTGGGGAAACCAGGTTCCTTCTTGTCTTCTTCATCTATGGAATGAAATTCTACAGCTCCTGGAAGATGTTTGCAGGTGGCTAGACCATCAGACGGGGGTGCTCGAGGGCTGGGGGCTAGAAGAGGAGCTGGTGGTAAGAAGTTCCCTCGCTCAGCCTTGACCTCTGTGCCTGGGACCGTGAAGAGGTCGCTGGCAACAGGAAGAGGGGGGTCGGAAGCTCCGCCCCCTTATCTAGCCCTCATTTCTTCCTCTCACCAACACACAGATGTGCTAGCAGCAGAGTCTGGCTCCTGCTTGAATTCATTTCACATTTTTAAATATACTCCTAATGAAAAGCAACAAAAGCACTTGACAAAACCAGCTGATGTAAATGTCCCTGCAGCAGCCAGAGGCTAATTTTAGCGGCGTACAAGTAAGGGGCTTACAGCAGAGCCCGAGGGATGATCCCACGAGGAAATGTTCTCTCTCAAGATACAGAGATCGGGACTAGACCAAATTGGGCTGCACAGCTCACCGCAGGATGCTCTCCCTGGCGGGGCATGGCTGTTGGCACAGAGCTCTGACATAACAGTCTGGACCCTTCACAGGCTCTCGAGAGGCCAAGGGCAGGTAGAAATCATTGCAGTTTTCCACATCACTTAGCCAACACGGCTGGTCAGGCCCCCAGCATCCTCGTACCCCCAGATGCTCCAGGCTCTCTGCCTGACATTACATACAAAGTTTGTTTCTTGTGAAAATAAGTGCCCTCAGAAGAAAGCCAACTTACGGCGTTGGGGACAGAACGAGGAGTGGGAGAGGCCTCTGTGTCTGGCAGTGTGGCAGGTGAGTTTTTAAGACCTTCAACATGCACAGCTGGGCTGACAGGAGAGTAAGGAACCCCCTCAGAAGGCAGGAACTCTCATGGGAGGGTGAATCAGAGAGGAAAGGACATGGAGCCTGTCCTGAGGCTGCCTGCCTTGGCTGCAGCTTGCTGGGTCACTGTCAAAGGCCACCTGGGCCAGGAGACCAAGCTGGGGGCCTGGGCAGGAGGGGAGTGGACTGTGGCTGCCCCCGGAGAGGAAGCCGGGAAACAGCCCTGATGAAGGACGCACTCATGCCGGGGCTTGATGCTGGCTTGGAGGGGGCAAATCCAGAAAGAAGGCTGCCCTGAAATCCGTAACCAGAGGTCACCCTGCAGTGGTCTGGGGAGGAATCCAGATGACCCTGAGACCCAACCAACACCTACGTGCATCCCGGGGTCCCCACTCGTGTTTCTGGCCAGCACTAGGCAGAAAGAGACACGCATCCTCCCTGTAGGAGCACACTGTCAACCCCAAAAGAATGTCCATAGAACGTTATAAGGGCATGAAGTCACAATGGAAATCACAAAGCAGGAGAAACTCCCAAGGATTACAGGAAAATCTGATCTGACCACCAAAGACATCTCCACAACGGCTCAAAGAAACAGAGTCATCCAAGGGTCCCAGGGGAGCAAGCGACTATCCAGGACCGTCACTCAGCAGTTGCACAACCCTAAGTCCCTTAACCCCTCTGTACCTCAGCTTCTCACCTGCCAAAGGGTGACTGTAACAGCCGAAACCTTCCCCAGCGGAACATGTAAGGGGTAAACTGAGATTTAATGTGTTGGTTATTATTACTAACATCAAAAATCATCAGGCACATTTGAAAATGATCCATATAGAACTTGTAGAAATAAAAACTCTAAGAATTAAAATTTAAAACTAAATGAAGGCGTTAAATAATCACTTAGAGCTGGCGAAAGAATCGGCGAACAGTAAAATGGCACTGAGGAAATAATCTAGAAGGCAGCACAGAAAGACAAGGGGATGACAGTACAGGAGGCTGGAGGATTGCAGGGCAGAGGGAGGTACGCCAACCACGTCCAGGCAGAGTCCCAGGAGGAAAGGAAGACAACGGGAGAGACACTGAGTCAAATGCATGAGGGCTACAAAAGCATTCAGAAAGAAAAGCAAAGGGCCCGGCCAGACATTAAGACACCCTAGGAAGCCCCTGTGTTTAAGACCGTGAAGGACTGGCACATAACCAGGCAGACAGACCAGGGTGTCCAGAAACAGACCCGAAGCACGCAGAACTCCGCTGCAGGATAATCACTGGGCCAAGGAGGGGCTGTGGAATCGATGGTGCCAGGACAACTGGGTACTCGCTTGGGAAAAGGTAAAATTAGACCCAAACCTAACACATACATGAGAGTAAACCCCACATGGATCAGGGACCTGACTGTAGGGAAGGAAAGCACACAAGCACCAGAAGGAAGCATGGACTGGGGGAGAAGGAGACTTTCTAACACGACTCAAAATCCAGACGCAGTTAAAAAAGAAAAAGGAAATAAACGGAAAAGTTTGAAACATGGGTGGGGGGGCATGTGGCAAAAGAATTCAAAAAACAGCTGACAAACTGGGAGAAATGACTTACAATGTATCTCACAGATAAAAGCTAATATCCCTCATGTATAAAGAACTCTTAAAAACTTTAGGAACAAAGACCAAAATCCAGACAGAAAAATGGGCCAAAGGCATAAAGAGAGAAAAAGACCCAAACACTGAGATTCCGTTTCTTATCTATCAGATGGGCAAAAATGTAATAGCCTCTGCTCTCCAAACCGCGTGGGAACAGGCACGCTCGTACGCTGCCAGGGGGAATGCAAATTGGTACAAGCTTCATGCAGGAATATTTGGCAAAATCTAACAAAATTATCTATCTGTTCATCTCTGATGGAAATCTCTTGTGTAAATGAAGTCTGAGGACACAACTCCAACGTCGGGAAGGCGAGTCGGCACAAGGTTATCCACGGAGCACCCTTCTCCAGGGTAAATGCTGGGATCCACCTAGACGTCCAGACGAGGAGAGAGGCTGCGTAAGTCACAGCACATGTGACTGTCGGAGAGAGCGAGGAAGAGCTCTGGGAGGGATGAGAGGGGTTCCCAAGATGTGATCTGAGGTGGCAAGAGCCAAGTACATAAGAGCTACCCGCAGGATGGCGTTCCTCTTGTGCAAGAAAGAAGGCGAGATCAGTACCTGGATCTGCTCATTCTCGCAGAAGGCAACTCAGAAGGGCAAGGGCGGGGCTGGGGGCGGGGACAGTGGAGGGACACCACTCCTCTGAGTCTAATTTCTCCTGCAGTTCTAGCTTTAGGAACCGCGTGCATGTTTTATATACTCAAAAACTGAAAATAAATAAAATCAAAAGGTATGTGGAGGGCAAAAAAAAAAAAAAAAAAGAAAAAGGCCCTCTAAAATGAAATACAAATAGAAACAAATGAACCCAACAACCTTTCAAGCCAATAACAACCACACTGGTGTGGGGCAGGGCAGGGGTGAGAACCACCCAAATTAGCTCTGGGACACAGTATCTGGACTATATTAGGACCATACGCCCCAAACAAAGGGTGAACTCCAGTTAGTGGGTGTCTTTTCACAGAGGCACAGATTAACAATTTCCTTCTGAGCATTCTGGGATTGAACAAATAAATAAATAGATGATGGAGGCCGGGAGCTGAGTTTCGCATTGTTAGAGCAGAGAGTAACAACCACGGAAAAGAGAAAGGGTCGTTAGCAGCCACTGTGAGGCTGGACTGCCATTGGAAGTACAGGTGTGAGCTCACAGAGTTTATGTGTATGTATATGGAAACAGATCTGGATAGGGTGTGTATGTGGGGTGGTGGGGTGTGCACAGACATCCATTCCCTGGACGTCCAGCTCTGTCTGCTGGAATGGCCTAGCAGCTATGAGCGTGTGCAGCTCACAGAACGTGCTTTCTAAGTACCAGTCCCTGCAAAGACACCTGGCTTCCTTGGAGAAACCGCTGGCTCCAGGGCTGGGGCAGGGGAAGCGCCAGGAGAGACCAGACCATCTTACTGGATCAGAAAGTAAAGAGGGCTCAGATGTCCAGAGGAGCCAGCATGAAGGGGTGCCCAGCAGCCAAACCAGGACAATTTGGGCACTAAAATGGACGATGATAACAAAGGAATATAACTCAGTTAATAAAATAGTCCATGAGTCCAAACAAACGTAAATAAACAAATAAGCAAATAAGGAAGAAAGGCAAGTTCTTTACAGGAGAAAGTCAACTACTTAAAGGAGTAAGAATGACAGGACTAGAACATCTCCACAGCTACCAGCATCACCATGACAGATTCAGGCAAGAACCACCAATGGAGGCAGAAACTGGGGGTCAGTACTTGGAGAGTAACGGGGTGTCAGCACAGTCCCAGAGAATTTCCCCCGAGATCCTTCTGAATTACAAAGGGAAGACTAGTCACTCTGTAGTGGAGAAGCCAGCAGCACCACCTTCCCAAGGGGTCAGAGTCAGCATCCCCAGAAATGAGCCAGGTAGACATCCGGACCACTGGACATGAGGCACTGAGAACACAGCACCACTGCTGTGGACTCCAGCCCAAAAGGCGTCACTTGAACCCAGTCAGGAGGAATCTCAGAGAACCCCAAAGTGAAGGACATCTTACACAACAGCTGCCCTGCACTCTTCCAAAATGTTCATGTCACGAAACACACGCTGCTCCAGAGGAAAGGAGACCTGGGGACATGAGGTCTGAATGCCACGTAGGACTCGGCATTTCTCTTGAGAGACAGGACATCATCAGGACCATTGGCAAAACACGAATAAAGCCTAGGATGAGCTAACACCTGTGTGTCAGTGGTAGTTTTCTGATTTTGATCACTGTGCCAAGTGCAGGTGACAGG